AAAAAAAAAAAAAAACCAGAGAGCTCAGGATTATTTTTTTTTAGCTAAAGTTCCATTATTATTATTTTTTTTTCTCTTTTTTCTCCTTTTCAAATATAAATGGATAAGGAAAAACAATTTATTTGCAACAAAAAACCAATCTGTTTACAAACTACAGCTCAGGATTCAAGTGTACAATCGTCGAGTTTGAGTAAAACGATACTTCGAAAGGGATTTTCGTGGCAGACTCCAATCCCAGGCGATGAAGTCGAAGGTGTGATATTAGCTTGTCTACGTTATTTCAAAACGTGGTATTTTTGGAAAGTACTTTTGACAGTGTTTTTTCACTTGTATATAAGATCAGGGGAAGTTTGTTCTGTTTCTTGTTTCAGTTCGTTACAGTGTCGGGCTGCAAGCAGGGAAGTATTTTGATTCGAATCGAGAAAAGGAGAGCCCTTTCAGATTCAAATTAGGCCGCGGTATGTGTTATTTTCCACTCGAAACCTTTCATTTTCTTACAAATGCTCCCTCATAGAAGGTGGCACTTTTATATGAAACGAAAAACAAATTTCATGCTGAACTTTTAAACATAAGTCTTATGAATATGAGGTATGGTCTAAGGATTAGCTTTCAACTTAAGCACAGCAAAATTGATTTAAATTGAAAATGAATGTGATAGGTGAAGTTATAAAAGGATGGGATGAAGGCATTGCCACCATGAGAAAAGGTGAAAGGTCAATTTTCACAATCCCACCAGAATTGGCCTATGGAGAAATTGGGTTCTGTCCTTTAATTCCTCCGAATTCGACTCTCATTTTCGATGTGGAGCTAATTTCTTGGTACCCCATTAGAGACATAAGTGGTGATGGAGGAATATTGAAGAAGATAATAGTGGAAGGAGAAGGATGGGCCACTCCAAGCAATGATGATGAAGTCTTGGGTATTTTGTTTTCTCTCAAATTTTTGAATGAGGCAGCCTAACCGTTAGGCTGGTCGACCCGTCATACTTTTGAAATGAAAATGCATACTTATGCTATGAATTGACATGTTTTTGTTTATGTTTTTTTAAAGTATGGCATTTCAGTTTAACAGTATGCATATCTATTAAAAAAAATATGATTGTCTAACTGTTAGGTCTGTCTGATTGTAGTTTTTACTTGTTTTTATAGTTATAGGATATCCTTTGAGCAATTAGATTTTTATCGTTTTATTAATTTTCTTGAGCAATTTCATTTGTTTTAGACACATGAAAAAAAGGAAAAACTAATTCATTGATCCTTTACCTTTCTTGTAGTCAAGTATGTTGCAAAATGTGAGAATGGGAAAGTCATATCTGAATCTAATGAAGGCCTGGAGTTCTCACTAACAATTGGTGAGTTTAGCTTCTGAATATTGGTCTATCTAAGGCAAATGTCTCATACTTAGCCCTCACTTTTAGGAAGCTTCGATGTGCCTTCACCGGGTTTTTATTTTTTACCGTTGGGGCTCACACGTACACACACACCAAGGGTGCGTGTTGATCAAACGGTAAAAAACCCAGTGGGCAAAAGTTTCCCCTTTTTTCGCCTAGCTTATTGGTTCTTTTATGGAATTGTAATTATGAGTATGGTTTCTGGTGGGACTCTTAATCAGGTCATCTCTGCCCTGCAATGAGCAGAGCTGTGAAAACAATGAGGAAAGGGGAAAAGGCAGAGGTTTTTGTGAAGCTCAACTGTAAGTTTGAAGTTTAATTATCTTTAATGACAGTAATAACATCATATCCATATGCAATAACAAAATCTGCATTTCACATTATGGTAAGTTTCACCATAATTTTACTTTCAACTTCATTGACAATTTATAGATGGCCTTTTGCATCGCGAGAATGGGACACAAACGGTTAATGGTGCATTTCCACAGTATCAAAACTTGATCATTCATCTCGAGCTAGTATCATGGAGAACTGTTGTCGATGTCAATGGAGATAAGAAAATATTGAAGAAAATAATGAAGAAAGGAGAAGCTTTTGATCGTCCTAACGAAGGATCCATTGTAAAAGGTATTGCGCGCTTAACCGACATTTTCTTTCTTTCTTTCTTTTTTTTTTATTGTTGTTTGGAGGGTTTAATTTAAAAGTTTGTAAATTTCATCCTTAAAAGTGGAGCTTTGTAATTACGCCTTTGTCTTTCGTGCAGTGGTTTACGTAGGCAAGCTTGAAGAGGGTACGATCATGGAAAAACGAGGATGTGATGAGGAACCCTTTGAATTCGTGTGTGGAGAAGGTGCAAAATTATTTCATTTTTGCTCCTTGTGTTTTTCTTATTTGATCAATTTACGATGTTCTACGAATTATCCCAGAAAAATTGGAGGGAAAAAAAAGGTAGTAGATATGACCCAATTCTTTACATTCATATGCAGAACAAGTCCAGGGGGGGTTGGACAAGGCAGTAACCACCATGAGAAAAGGAGAAGAAGCTACAGTTAAAATCAGCTATGACTCATTGGACCTCTCTAAAGTTGGAGGATTGAGTACTTCAAATGCATTGTTTTATGAAATCAAATTAATTGATTTCACAAAGGTAAATCTAGCTAGATATGTATTAGTGGTCATCAACAAACAATACTAATTGGTCTCTTTGTAAGTCAAATAAGCTAGCTTATAGCTTATTTGGTTAGTTTATAAGCTCTCTGTTTAAAATAAGTCTCGTTTGGTAGGACGAGCTTTTTGAAAAAGCTCGAGCTTATTTCATAAGCTACTTTAAGTAGCTTTTCAAATAAGCTAGTTGAATTTTTTATTTCAGCTAGCTTATCAGCTAATTTACCAAACACCTTTTATCATATAAGCTAGCTTTTCAACTATAAGTCATAAGTTATAAGCTATAAGCTCAAAAATTACATATAAGCTATCAGCTAGCTTATCAGCTAGTTTTACTTTTACCAAACATAGCCTAAGTATCAAAGGTATTTGCACAACTCAAGATCTTTTTCGACAAATTAGCCTAGATCTTTTTAAGAGTGGGAGTGATTTGGGTTTGCAGGAAAAGCCGTTTTGGAAGATGGATGCACAAGAAAGAATAAATGCATGCCAAGCAAAGAAGAATTATGGAAATATACTTTTCAAAGCCGGGAAATTTCTGCTTGCCTCCAAGAAGTATGATAAGGAATGTGATTTAGGCATGAAAAAAGAAATGTAATGGGAAATTTCTGCTTGCCTCCAAGAAGTATGATAAGGAATGTGATTTAGGCATGAAAAAAGAAATGAAATTACAGACAAAAAAAGTATCGATAAAAGCTAATTGTGGCCCCGAGCTTGTAGCTCAAACCTAAAATGGAACTCTTCACCTTTATTATATATCTAGTTATAGTTCCTCATACTAACATAGTTTGATTGCTTTTAACCACTCAGCAGGCTTCAAAATACATTGAATACAATCATTCATTTAGTGATGATGAAAAGGCTCAAGCGAAAAGTTTGCGACTGTCGTGTTATTTGAACGAGGCTGCATGCAAACTTAAACTCGAAGAATATCAAGAAGTCTCGAGATTATGCACCACGGTCCTATTCAGTTCTCTATACTCTATAGTCCCTTCATGTGTAATTTGTACTTTCGAAAGATGGTGGGGTGTTTTCGTAGTTATGCTAAACTCTAGAGGTGGCTTTTGTAAATATCCCAGACTCTAGTGGCAGTTTTTGAAACTATTGGGCAAAGAAATTATAGGAATTCACTTGGTTTTACTTGGCAACAGGTTCTAGATTTAGATCCAAACAACGTAAAAGCTCTGTTCAGAAGATCACAAGCATATATGAGAACATCGGATCTAGAGAAAGCAGAGGGGGATATTAATCAAGCTCTATTGCTCGATCCAAACAACAGGTATGCGAATCAGGCTCTATAATTTCTCTTCTTAGATTATTCATTTTCAAAAGCTTTCTTCAAGAAAAAGCTTGGTTTTTTTTTCTTTTCCTTTCTCGAATATTACTGTTTCTAGAGAAGACTGTTCTTGAATTACCAGAGAAGTGAAGATCAAATGCAAGGAGTTGAAAGAAAAGCAGAGGCAATATGCCGAACACGAAGCTAAAATGTTCAGCACCATGATTTCAAGAATAGGTTAAGCTACCCAAAGCCTGTTGTCAATTACTTTGAAAGGGTCAGATTGTGAAAGCAAAAGCAAGGCAGAATGATCACTTGGAAGTTTGTCGAACTTGTATTTCAAGTGCAAATTCAAAAACGAAAGGGATAACTCGAGTTTGAATTATAAAAAAGACAGTTACTGATTGTACTCTGAATAAATGCAAACATATATCTAGACCCACTATAATTAAAATTTGAGTTGGTACTCAAAGACTCTAGTGTTTCTATTGTTGCCTTAGATTGAAGGTTAAACCTGTGACTAGAATAATCTTTATAAGTAGTGCGATTCTAGTTAAGATAGCTTTAACGGTTTTATTATACAACACAATCAAGTAATATAAGACAAAAAAAAATATAACATAATATGTCGCAACAATGTAATCGATAATACGAAGGTTGTCGTGATTCCCTATTTATATTAAAATGTAACTGTTTTCTACTATTTAAAAAATATGAAAGTGAACAAAAAACAAAGGTACATAATTCGAACTAGCAAGTGCTGATAGAGCTTATACTTTGCACCTTATGAAGTCTTTAATCACCATTGTTCATGCAGAGTATTCTCTGTTAAATATGAGACACTGAATGAATTTCAAAGCTCCATTGAGAGATGAACACGACCGAAACATTTGCAGACTCTAATGCAAGTGATTCTTAGCTCGTAATCGAAAAAAGTAAATGCTTTGAAGTAAATAGAGTTGACAGAAGACAGGTCCTATACTCCCATGACTACATTTGGGTGAAAAGGTTTCCCAAAAGGCTTTCCAAAAAGTTCATGTGAAAGCCAAAAAATGTTATTTTCAACAGAAACTCTATAAACAAACCAAATCAGTTCTAGTCAACCATGAACATAAAAAAACACTTCAAAAGCCCAAATGAATGCAAAACCAAATAAATTTGGTTGATAGGATATCACTCACACAGTCACAAACACATACACACACACACACACACAAGTAAATGCATAAATAATATAAAACCAGATATAAGCATTCAACACCAAAAAAAAAAACATCAATCTGCATACCAATTTCCTTCACATGCTCACACCAAGTCAACAGAAGTCAATCATCCCAATTATTCACAAAACAACCCCAAATTTTTCTAGGTTTTTTTGGGGGGCAAATTCACGAAGAAGCAGATGAAGGAGATTAAAACGAAGAAGCATCAAGAATCCTACCAATTTCAAAGGAGACAAATGCATCAACGCAAGCATACTGAACCTGAGCCGGCGTCAGCCACCGATGGTCCCATCTGCTCATCGTAACCGCCCTCGGCTTCTCCACGTCCCTCTCCAGCACAACGCCGGCGAGGGTTCTCAGCCCCGCGCTTTTCAGCTCCGGCCTCCTGTAACTCTCCGCCGCCAGGACCCTCAAATCAACCGTGCTGGCGTTGGACTCGAACTCGTAATCCTCCTCGATCTTCTCCATGTCCTGATCCACGCCGATCCCGACGAACGTGTAGCTAGGGTTCGCGAGGAAGTCGATGAGCGAGTTGGGGATGTAGGGGGAGTGGATGAGCTGGTAGATGAGGCAGCGGCGGCCGACGCAGAGCTGGAGGGTAGCCGCGGGGTTGCTGTGGTTGCGGTTGAACGATGGGCGCCACTCGACGTCGAGTCCGACGACGAGGTGGTGGAGGCGGCGGTGGTGGACGGACTCGACCTCGGAGATCCAGTTGGAGACGACAACGGGGTCGTGGGTGACGGTGGTGTAGATGGAATCGCCGAAGAAGATGACGTCGTAGGTGTTGTGGCTGTCGTATGATAGCTGGTGGTCGATGATATCAATGTCCGGGGCGGCCGTCTGGTTGTACGCCATGGCTGACTGCTCTGCTGCTGCTGCTGCTGCTGCTGCTGCTGCTGCTCACTGTGTGTGTGTGAAAAAGAAAGGTTATGGAGAAAAAGATAAGAAGAGAGTCCCAACTCCCAAGGGCGAAGGCGAAAGGAAGACCTGACGCGCGAAAATAGCGCGTGTATCGTACATAAAGATTTTGTTATTTTCATTTTCAATGTTATTAGTGGTTTTAATTTAGAAATAATTGATACTGTAATATTTTGATTTGATTTGATAATGGACATATATGCTTTTTATTTTAATAGAATGGAACTATTTTTGTATTGGAAACTTAGATGATAATTATATTGATAAAGGAAAAAAAATATATATTTAACCGATGATTAATAATTTTCATGCCCACTAATCGATCCGAGCTAGACTTGGGGTCACCAGATCATCGTATCAGTTGTTAGGTGGCCGGGCCACATGTTGAATCGAGTAATTAATTTTAAAAATTATAAAATTAAATATATATTTTTTTATCTTATACATATAAGCAAATAAATAAATGCGTAACTTGTATGAAAATTTTATACCTCATAATCACAATCTTAATAATATTGCATCGAATGTTTACCAAATAAAAATGTACACGTAATTTTATTTGAATGTTATTATTTTATTTACAGACCAACTTGACATCCACATAGACAACTCACATCGATTTTTTTATTTTTTTTTTATACTTTTCTAACACACACACACACACACAGAATCATACACCCAAATTAATATTCTATATATATTTAAAAAGAATTACTACCTCCTATTTTTAATAGACGTGGTTTTGAAAAATTGCACATTAATTAAGAATATTTTTTTTTTGTCAATAATACTCTTATTTAATAAAGATAGAGATGAATGTTTTGAGAAAAAATGAAGAGTGAATATGAAAAGACGTAATGCATTTATTAGCTAAATGAGGGTAATAATGGAAAAATATGTACAAAAAATCTAAAACGACATTTATTAAGCAAATAGTTGATAAAGCTAGAATGACATTTAAAAAAAATAGGAGGGAGTACTATTTTTTAAAAATAGCAAGTCAAACTATGATCAAATATGGTTGAGCATTAATTGCATGCTATTAATAACAAGTTTTTATTTTATTTTTTTATTTACAAATGTGCATCATTAATTCTTGCATTTAAATGTGGAGTTTGTTAAGTGAAGTTATTACTTATTTTTTCTCAAGATTAGGTTGTTCCTTTTTCATTTTCACAATTTTTTTTAAAAAAAAAAAAAAAAAAAAAAAAAAACTTTTTTCAACATATAATTGTGTATCAACATTGCAAATTTTATTTTATTTACAAAATATATTACGCCTAACTTAATAATATAAACTTAATTTAGTATTTACAAAAAATGAAAAAACTCTTTTAACATCAACTCGGCTACTACAATTGCTTTAATCGGATGCTTTTATTTTTAAATAAAGTAAATTACAGTTCATTTAATAATCAAAATATACAATATTTTTATTCTTTTTTTTATATTTTTTATATATAAAAATAACACAAAACTAATCTAATTATAAAATCGTCAATATTTTATTTGCGCAAGAACGAGTTGTAACATTTTCATTTTCACAAATTAAAGATTTTTTTAATAGAAATAAGATTACCAAATACATTTTCATGCCCACTAATCGATCCGAGCTAGACTTGGGGTCACCAGATCATCGTATCAGTTGTTATGTCGTCGGGCCACATGTTGAATCGAGTAATTAATTTTAAAAATTATAAAATTAAATATATATATTTTTTTTATCTTATACATATAAGCAAATAAATAAATGCGTAACTTGTATGAAAATTTTATACCTCATAATCACAATCTTAATAATATTGCATCGAATGTTTACCAAATAAAAATGTACACGTAATTTTATTTTAATGTTATTATTTTATTTACAGACCAACTTGACATCCACATGGACAACTCACATCGATTTTTTTTTTTTTTTTTTAATACTTTTCTAACACACACACAGGAATCATACACCCAGATTAATAATCTATATCTATATATATTTAAAAAGAATTACTACTTTTTTTAAAAATAGCAAGTCAAACTATGGTCAAATATGGTTGAGCATTAATTGCATGCTATTAATAACAAGTTTTTATTTTATTTTTGTATTTACAAATGTGCATCATTAATTGTTGCATTTAAATGTAGAGTTTGTTAAGTGAAGTTGTTATTTATTTTTGCTCAAGATTAGGCTGTTCTTTTTTCATTTTCACAATTTTTTTTTAAAAAAAAAAAATTTCTTCAACATATAATTGTGTATCACATTACAAATTTTATTTTATTAAAAAATATATTACGCCTAACTTAATAATATAAACTTAAGTTAGTATTTACAAAAAATGAAAAAACTCTTTTAACATCAACTCGGCTACTACAATTGTTTTAATCGGATGCTTTTATTTTTAAATAAAGTAAATTACAGTTCATTTAATAATCAAAATATACAATATTTTTATTCTTTTTTTTTTATATTTTTTATATATAAAAATAACACAAAACTAATCTAATTATAAAATCGTCAATATTTTATTTGCGCAAGAACGAGTTGTAACATTTTCATTTTCACAAATTAAATATTTTTTTAATAGAAATAAGATTACCAAATTGCATTTTTTATTAAAAAAAAAAAATACGACTGTTTAATAATAAAAAATAACTTTAGTATTTGCAAACAATTTGAAGCCTTTGGAACATTATATCGGCTAATACCATTAAATTACTGAATTCTTTATTTTTTAAAAAATACTAATTCTTTAATGTTGCGGTTGATTTAACTTTCAAAAACAAATTTTTTTGATAATAGAAAATCATGAAACACTTTGCAGCCTAGATTGGTGGATTTGGTTCCATTAAGTTCTAGAAATTTCGATCATTGAATATAATTTGGAATTCAAAATTCTTTCTCATTTTTGATTTAAAAATTTGATTATGTTTTTTATTCCAAACAATCATATTGCCGAAAAAATTACCTTCTTGAATTAATAATTTGAAATTCAAAATCCCTTCTCATTTTAGTTGCTATAAAATTGGGCTTAATTCAAAATATCTTCCTAATATAAAAGATTTTGTTTAAATTGAAAAAAAAAAAATTTAATCACATGCTTCTATCCTTGGACGAATAACCTTAAATGAAGGATTTTGTGTCACTTTAAAATTAACAAACCTCTTAGAAATTACAAAATCATAATGAATTTCAAAATTTTTGGTTTCATTTTGCACGAAATTCAAAATGATTTAAGAATTTCAAATCAATTGAAACACATCTCTTTAATTTTTTTTCCATAAGTTTAAAAAATTTACAATAATTAAGTCAAATCAAGTGTATTGTTTCAAAAATCAAGAGGATAGTTTTGAAAATAGACATTTTTTTTTTCAAAATTGTCTTAGTCATCAATTCAATATAAAATAAAGCTAATATGTTAGGAGTTTTTAATTGTTTAAACGTACAAATTTTATGTTCTCTTGAACAAGCTAATTTTATATCGTTTATAATAAAATGATATATCATAAATTATATGACATGTTAACTCCACATCGTTAATTTATAATTATTATTTAATATCGTTACCCCATCTTTATTTTTTTCTTGCTCTTTTAAGAGAGGATTAATAGTGGTTCCCCACTTTTTGTATTGGGTGACTCGAACTCGATACTTATTTAGAATAAATATTTAATATTATTTACTCGTGCATCGCACGAGATACACACTAGTGCATCATATACCAATATCAGCTGATATAAAAAAAAAATATATAATTAAATTAAATAAATATAATATACAATGATGAATACACAAGTGGTATATGACGAAGAGGATTTAGCGCAGTGGCGCATACCTCGCTCGCCGTATTCCATATTATGAGTTCGAGTCACCAAGGAGAAATTGAAGAACCAGTATTAATCCTTCTGTTGTGTGTAAAAAAAAAAAAAAAAA